TTAAAGGTGCAAAAGCACTCTCTAAATGCTGACCACAGAAGACTTAATTAAAGGTACAAAAGCCCTCTCCGAGTGTTGACCATGGCAAACTTGATTAAAAGTACAAAAGCCCTCTCCGAGTGTTGACCATGGCAAACTTGATTAAAGGTACAAAAGCCCTCTCCGAGTGTTGACCATGGCAAACTTGATTAAAAGTACAAAAGCCCTCTCCAAATGCTGACCATGCAAACTTAATTAAAGGTACAAAAGCCCTCTCCGAGTGTTGACCATGGAAGACTTAATTAAAGGTACAAAGGCCCTCTCCGAATGTTGACCATGGCAAACTTAATGAAAGGTGCAAAAGCCCTCTCCGAATATTGACTATGGCAAACTTAATGAAAGGTACAAAAGCCCTCTCTGAATGTTGACCATGGCAAACTTAAAGGTACAAAAGCCCTCTTCAAATATTGACCATGGCAAACTTAATTAAAGGTACCAAAGTCATCAGCAATGTTGAAAGACACCAAAGCCACCTCTAATGTTGACCATGGCAAACTTAATGAAAGGTGCAAAAGCCCTCCCCGAATGTTGACCATGGCAAACTTAATTAAAGGTACCAAAGCCCTCTCCAAGTGTTGACCATGGCAAACTTAATGAAAGACACCAAAGCCACCTCTAATGTTGAATATGGGAAACTTATTTAAAGGTGCAAAAGACCTCTCTGAATATTGACCATGGCAAACTTAATTAAAGGTACAAAAGCGCTCTCTAAATCCTGACCATGGAAGACTTAATTAAAGGTACAAAAGCCCACTCCAATGTTGGCCGTGTCAAACTTAATTAAAGGTACAAAGGCCCTCTCCAAATGTTGACCATGGCAAGCTTAATTAAAGGTACAAAAGCAACCTTCAATGTTTACCATGGTAAACTTAATTAAAGATACCAAAGCCACCTCTAGTGTTGACCATGGTAAACTTAATGAAAAACACCAAAACCACCTCCAATGTTGGCCATGGCAAACTTAATGAAAGGTATGAAAACCACCTCTAATGTTGACCATGGCAAACTTAATTAAAGGTACGAAAGCCAGTGATGACCATGGCAAACTTAATTAAAGGTGCAAAAGCACTCTCTAAATGCTGACCATAGCAAACTTAATTAAAGGTACAAAAGCCCTCTTCAAATGTTGACCATGGAAAACAATTAAAGGTATGAAAGTCACTTCCAGTGATGACCATGGCGAACTTAATTAAAGGTACCAAAGCCACCTCTAATGTTGACCGTGGCAAACTTAATTAAAGGTACAAAAGCCCTCTCCGGGTGTTGACCATGGAAGACTTAATTAAAGATACAAAGGTCCTCACCAAATGTTGACCATGGCAAACTTAATTAAAGCTACAAAAGCCCTGTCCAATTTTGATTCTGGAAGACTGAACTAAAGGTACCAAAGCGCTTTCAGTTTTGATTCTGACAAACCTAATTAAAGGTAACAAAGCCCACTACAGTTTTACCGGAAAATTTAATGAAAAGAACCAAAGCCCTTTCCAATGTTGCCCATGGCAAACTTAATTAAAGGCACCAAAGCGCTCTCCAGTTTTGAGCAGCCTGTAAGAGCCCAAGGCAATGCCTGACTCACCAGGATGGTGAACTTGCCGCTCAGCAGCTCCGATCGGAGGGGCTCCTCGTGGGGCTTCAACTTCACAATCCCTTCCTTCAGCCTGGTTTCCTGCGTGACAAGGGGACAGTTGTCATGCACCACGGAAAAACAAAAGGACGTACCAATGTGGTTTACTCCGGTCTTACAAATGGCCAGCTGGGGAATTCCCCGGCACCTTTCAGGAACGGGCCGCCCAGTCAAACTTGTCTAGCTAGCTTTTGTAAGAATGGACATAAATAATATCCACCAACAGTGAGAGACTTGTGTTGTCGAAGGCTTTCAGGGTCGGAATCACTATCTGGCCATGTTCCAGAAGCATTCTCTCCTGACGTTTCGCCCACATTTATGGCAGAGGTTGTGAGGTCTGTTGGACACTAGGAAAATTTTGCCCATGGCAGACTTAATTAAAGGTACAAAAGCCCGCTCTAAATATTGACCATGGCAAACTTAATAAAGGTGCAAAAGCCCCCTCCGAATGTTGACCATGGCAAACTTAATTAAAGGTACAAAAGCCCTCTCCAAATGTTGACCCTGGCAAACTTAATTAAAGGCACAAAAGCCCTCTCTAAATATTGACCATGGCAAACTTAATTAAAGGTCCAAAAGCCCTCTCCAAATATTGACCATGGCAAACTTAATTAAAGGTATAAAAGCCCTCTCCAAGTGTTGACCATGGCAAACTTAATTAAAGGCACAAAAGCCCTCTCCAAATGTTGACCCTGGCAAACTTAATTAAAGGCACAAAAGCCCTCTCTAAATATTGACCATGGCAAACTTAATTAAAGGTATAAAAGCCCTCTCCAAGTGTTGACCATGGCAAACTTACTTAAAGGTACAAAAGCCCTCTCTAAATATTGACCATGACAAACTTAATTAAAGGTACAAAAGCCCTTTCCAAGTGTTCACAATGGCAAACTTAATTAAAGGTACAAAAACCCTCTCTAAATATTGACCATGGCAAACTTAATTAAAGGTACAAAAGCCCTCTCCGAGTGTTGACCATGTCAAACTTAATTAAAGGTACAAAAGCCCTCTCTGAATAGTGACCATGTCAAACTTAATTAAAGGTACAAAAGCCCTCTCAGAGTGTTGACCATGGCAAACTTAATTAAAGATAAGAAAGCCACCTTCAATGTTGACCGTGGCAAGTTTAATTAAAGATACAAAAGCAACCTCCAATATTGACCATGGCAAACTTAATTAAAGGTACAAAAGCCCTCTCTAAATTATATATCTGTAGAATGATGTCCAGGGTGGGAGGAAGAACTCTTGTCTGCTAGAGGCTAGTGTGAATGTTGTAATTGGCCAGTTTGATTAGCACTGAATGGCCTTGCAGCTTCAAAGCATGGCTGATTGCTGCCTGGGGGGGGGGCTTTGTTTGGAGGAGTTGCCTCCAACTTCTCCTACCCTGGACATTCCACAGATATACAAACCTCACTTGTCTAGTATCCAACCTTTGAGGATGTCTGCCATAGATGTGGGCGAAACGTCAGGAGAGAATGCTTCCGGAACATGGCCAGACAGATCGGAAAACTCACAGCAACCCAGTGAGAGCCTAACTTGGGAACGATGCGCCCGCTTTGCACGCCACGCTTACCCGATAGGAGTGGAAAAGCTCGATCGCTCGGAGGACGTCGAACTTCCTGGCCATGAGGAACTTGACGGCCACGTTCCAGGAGAGCGGAGAGACATTGTATTGGACCGTCCACTTGTTGATCTCTTCCAAAAACTGCTTGGTGGCCTTGTTTAGGAAAAGAAGGAAAAGGGAATGGGGGGGGGGGGGGGGGGGGGGGGAAAGAAGGAGAAGGTGATATAGCGCTTGTTCAAGATCCCCATCTTTGCACAACTTAAGATGATATGATGGGATTTGAAGCAGCTCACAATTGTATAAACAAGGATTGAATGAAAAGTAATGCCTCCACCTTCGTAACTCCTCAACAGATGGCAGCACTGGTATGTGGCAGGTACTG